TCACGCGCCCGTTGGCGCCCGCGTCCGCGTCCCGCGCGCTCACGCGCACCACCAGCGCGCCCGCCGCGTTGTTCTCCCGCACGTACGCGCTGTACGCCGCCTCCTCGAACACCGGCGCGTTGTCGTTCACGTCCGACACCTCCAGCACCAGCTCCGCCGCGCTCGACAGCGCCGGCCTGCCCCGGTCCCTTGCAGTGATGGTAATATTGTAAGAGGACACTGCTTCTCTGTCCAGGGCACTGGCTATTACTAGTTTATAGGTGTTCTCCGATGACATTTCTAATCTGAAAGGCAGATTTCCGTCCATGTTACAGCTCACTTCTCCATTTTCTCCCGAATCTCTGTCACGGACATTGATCACAGCTACAACTGTGCTCGGGACTGAGTCTTCGGGTATCGGATTTAAGACAGGCAGAAGGGAAAGGGTTGGGGCATTATCATTTATGTCTGCAATGTCTATGTGTACTTTGGCGTGGGCAGTGAGCCCACCACCATCCTTGCCTTCAACAGTTGCTTCATAATATTTCCCTTCTTCATAATCTATGGGGCCTGTAACCTTCACATCCCCTGTCCTGGGGTCTAGAGAGAAGAGCTGGCGAGCACTGTCTGTGATGTCACTGAAAAAGTAGGCAATTTCTGCATTTGTACCTTCATCACTGTCAGTAGCTTTCACCTGAAAAGCTAAGGAGCCCTCTGGTAGGTTTTCCATCAGTTGAACCTTGTAGATCTCCTTGGTGAATACTGGTGGGTTGTCATTTGCGTCAGTCACGTTAATATTAATCTGCGCTGTCCCAGATCGGACTGGATCCCCACCATCCAGCGCCGTCAGTATCAGATGGTGATTTCTCTGTTTTTCTCGATCCAAGTTTTTCTCCAGTACTAATTCCGCGTGTTTCGTCCCATCAGGACTCTCCCTCACTAAGAGGGAGAAGAGTGGACTGGGGGTAAGTTCGTACTTTTGTAATGAGTTTGCCCCAATGTCGGGGTCTCTGCCACTGCCCAATGCGAACCTGCTCCCAGGAGGCGTCGACTCGATCATTTCTATGGTAACAAATTCTTTGTTAAACCGCGGCGCGTTGTCATTGATATCCTGGATAGTAACGCTCACATGAAACATGTCGAAAGGGTTTTCCATGAATGCCTCCAAGCGGAGGACACAGGGCGACACGGCCCCGCAGATGCTCTCTCGGTCTATCCTCTCATTTACCCGAAGATTCGTATTATCTTCCCCGAGAGTGAAGTACTGCTTTTCGTCACCAGCGACGATCCGCAGCTTGCGCGCCGGCAGCTCGTCAGCGCTGAGCCCCAGGTCCCGTGCCAGCGGCCCCACCAGCGAGCCTCTGGGCATCTCCTCGGGGATGGCGTAGCGGAGCCGCTCCGGTGCCGCCCGGCAGCACAGCGGCAGGAGCACGGCCAGCAACGCGACCCGCCCGGCGGCCGCCCAGCCCTGGGCTGCCGGTCTGACCTTCATTCTCGGCTTTGCTGAACAGTATTCTGCGGGCGACTTTAGGCTTTCCGAGCAGCTGAGCCGGTATCCGAGAGAAAGAAACGTATGAAATCCCTGTTGCTGGTCGGAGCAAGGCAGAATCGAGCGGTTCCTGCTTTTCTCCCCGCTCTGCGCTGAGCGAAGCAGCAATGAGCGGGCGCCGGGGAGGAGCCGACTGCGGAGCTGCTTCTGCGCCTTGGCCAACAGTGACACCCTGAGTCCATGTTTGAGAACCGCAAAGTCCGAGAGAAAGAACAGCTCGAAGGTCCTGCTCTGCAAGTCCTTCAATTAATACGGATTGGGAAATACATAGGTAATCGGTACTGCGAAACAGAAAACTTCTGATTGTGCTGAAAAGGTGCATCTAGGAATTCCCATTGTCTGAATTCCATACACTTGCAAGTCTTCTGCAGGACAAATCCTCCCCCGTTGCTTGAAGGATGTGCAGCAGGACCTTGATCTCTCCCCTGCTGTGATTTTATTCATCTCTTCAGTGGGGCGCGGGGTGTTCCTGCTGCTATCTTCACACAGTCATGAGAGAAAAGACAGGACAGAGCGAACGCTGGGGCACTGCTCATGGGTAGTGGGTTTATTTCTGATAGCTGAGAGATCCACAGCTAGCACGAAGCTAGCAAAGCCAGGAATTCCAGCCACTGAGAAAACCACAGCGGTCACATCAGACCTGAGCCCATCTCTTTCCATTCAAAGCGCAGCATCATCGTATCAGTGATATACAACTCAACACTGAATTCTTTTAGCCTGTCTCCCACAAACCATGGCCGATACTGTAGCTGGTCTCTAACCTTAAGAATACTTTCCGGGAAATGTTGGTGGTGGTTACCGCTGCTTAAACAATCAAAAGAAAGCAGACGGATCCCTGACGGAAAGCTGATGTACCTCACCTGTAAGTTAAAACCTCGCTTCTCGTACAGCAGAGAAAAAAACAAACCCACAAACAAACAAACAAAAAACAACAGCAAATCCCGAGGGAAGGCTGTATCATTACAGCCCCTCACGCAGAAGACAAGGAGAGATTAGAAAACTCTTCACTCTGTCAACTCAGTGGAGTTTCTCTTGCACATACACCAGCACTGCATCTCTGCAGATGCCAATGTCAAAGCCTTCTCAGGGAGGTATATTTAGAAACTATGTTTTCCTGCTCACTTTGACCGTTCAATCAGTGAAGGATAATTCCTTTTCCTCCAGCTGCACCTGTGCACAACTCACGGTAACAAATTAACCTTTCAGAACAAGAAATGGATTTGAATTTGTAGCGTTTCTGAAGCCAAGGGGTGGCAATACTGTGAACATCTCTATATGAGGTCTACAGGCAGATACAGTTATTTACATGGTGGGGGGGAACTTTGCTGAAACCTGTTGCCCCCAGTTCACTACCTCCTTTACGGCGACAATCGCACATAGCAACCCACACCCACATATTCATGCATCTACACACACTGAGGTACCTTTCAAATCGCTGTTTCCACATTAACTCCCATTCCGAAATTAGCCACACTATAAGGAGATAGTGATGAATCATATTTTGCTTTGAAACATTTTTTAAATGCATGTTCTAGGAAATATACTCTGTTTCAATGACTATACCTGTACATTTTTATCGAGTCCAAATGTCTAGCTTAGCAGCAGGGAAAAAAAAATCGATGGATCGTCAGGGGAATTTTGCACGATCCAACACGAACCTTTTCATAAAACTTCGAGTTGCCTTAAGTGGGATTGACTAATTCCTTTATTAAAGGCAGATTTCCAAGAAACCTGAGACTCCAAAGGTGTTGGCTTTCAAGCTACAAGATTGTCCAATTCTACTAGAATTTGAATCTGATACAATGAAATGCTGGGACCTGGGTACTAGCAAGTCCTTAAAAAAAATCAAAGAAGTGCCAGTAGAAGACCAGAAGAATGAATTTTCCTTGTGAAGCTGCACATGCAATGGAACCTTCCAGCCTTAAGGAAAGCTGGATAAAATGAGCTCTGGCAGGCGATAGAGAATAGGACACATAAAGCACACACAGCCGACTCAGCACACATTCAGCAGGCGACATTCACGGGCTGCTGACCATCTTAAAACGTGATTTCCAGGACTGTGAACAGTGCACTGTAAGGTAAGGTAATGGCCAGTCTTCGCGAACGAAGAACCGGGGAAGGTCTTTACACCTTCCAGCCTGCGCCTTGGATTTTTTAGGTGAGACACAGTGTGCGCGGAACTGAGCCCACCCTTTAATCCTGAGGTTCATCTGCCGGGGCCAAGCACGCTTGGACGGTGGCAGCGAGGTCCTCAGGACGTAGATGGATTGCCTCACAAGGCTAACGAGCTCCATCTGCCCGGGGAGTGGCCCCGACCGGGAATCGAACCCGGGTCTCTGCAGTGACAAGTGCAGTGTCTTTTCCCCTAGACCACCGGGGGCTCCATTGTGCACTGTGAAATGCCTGTGGCTACGCTAAGAATAGTAAAACCAAAATAAAGTTAAAAAAATAACGTACCTGAGAGGATGCTTGCCCACCGCTCTCCTCAACTTCATCTGAAGTGACAGGATCACCTGAAGCCGGATGATCAGAAGCTGTTGGTCGGACGGGAAGAGTGTCGCAGCAGCTGGCGGCCGAGAAGCGCAGGTGGCTCTTGCACGAGTCGGCCGTGAGAGACACGTCGTGCGAGTAGGAGTGCAGGAAGGCGCGGACGCCGTCGATGCCCACGAAGTGCGTGGCAGGCACGCCCCGCAAGGCGGCGCCGGCCGTGGCCAGCAGCTGCTGCTGCTGCTGCGAGCGGCGCCAGCGCCTGAGGCGCAGCGCCAGCAGCAGCAGCAGGAAGGCGAG